TTGCTAGGGACTTGCCCGGCACTTGCTCTCTACCTCTATTTGTTATCTTACTTCTATCATTGACAGTCCCTCTAGGTTGTGGGCTGCTTGCCTGTGTTCCTGAGAAGCATCTACGGTACCAGTCTATAGAGTGTGTTTTCTTTAGTGAATTACCGGTATGTTTACCGGTAATAAACTTGCACTGTTTTATGTATATGTTTGATTACATACAGCCTTGTGACAGTTTTCCTGCATGTCATAAGCATTTGAATATAAATTAAAATGTTAAAATCAAATATGATATTGTTTTACCTTTTATTTGGTGTGTGGAAGGTGTGCGGAAGAGGGGGTAGTCTTATACGGCGAGTATATAACAAACTCTGTATTTTGAGTGGAAATGTTAGGGGGTCGTCTTATACGCCCAGTCGTCTTATACGCCGGCAAATACGGTAAATGGCCAAACAAGTATATGAAAAGGTGCTCAACATCACTACTCATTAGGGTAATGCAAATCAAACCCACAACGAGATACCCTCTCACACCTGTTAGGATGGCTATACAAAAACATAAATAAAAATTAACATTGGTGAGGATGTGGAGGAAAGGGAACTCCTGTATACTGTTGGTGGGAATGTAAATTGGTACAGTTGCTATGGAAAACAGTATGAAGTTTCCTTAAAAAAATCAAAGAATAGAATTTTCATATGGTCCAGGAATCCCACTTCTGTCAGTTCAGGAGAATGTAATTTAATAACAACAACAATAGCTAACATTTATTGAGCACGTTTATGAGCTAAGCACTATGCTAAAGACTTCAGGTACATTATTTAATTTAATTCTCACACAATTTTATAACACATTCATTCATTTAGTTAAAATATTTGTTGAACATTTTCTATATGCTAGATACTGTGTTAGGTGCTAGGGAAACAGTGATAAATAAAATTATTATGGTCCCTATTCCTGGAGAGTTTATGGTATAGTAGGAGAAACTCACATTAAACCAATAAAAATAAGTATGTTTTGACATATGATAAATGACATGGAAGTGTGACAGAAAAATGGGGAGAGCACCGGATAGAGAGGTCTGAGAAGGTCTCTTTTAGAAGGTGACATATGTAAACTGAGACCTAAAGAATGAGGAGGAGCTGAGCAGGCAGTGGTAGGGCCTTAAGGCAGATGTGAATAATTCTACCTTAAAGAACTCTTTCCTTAATGGAGGAGCTGAAAGAAGATCAGGGAGGATAAACAGAGATAGCGGTGGGAGACTGATAATAGCTGAGGCTGGAGGTGGGCCAGAGACCATCCAGGGTCATGCAGATGCAGTTTCATTCTGAGTGCATGGAGAAATATTGCAGAGTTTTAAGCAGACAAGTGAAAGATCTGATTTATATTAAAAACACGACTCTGGCTGTCTTTTGGAAAACGGAGTGGAGGGAGGTAAGAGCAAAACTGGGGAGAATTGTTCAGTTTATTGTAGTATTCCAGGTTAGAGATGATAATGATTAGATATGGGATGATGGTGAAGATTTGTAAAGACGTGGATAAGGTTCAGATATATATTTGGAGATAGAGTCCAAAGGTGATAGAGAAGCTGAAGTCAAAGATAACTCAGGTTCCTGGTCTGAGTAATAGGGCTGATGTGTTACCACCCTCCTTTTTCAGTCTAGGAGACCAAAGCTCCGAGAGCTTAGCTAGCATGTTCCAGGAGATATGTCTAGTACATGATTTGAGCACGAGTCTGTCCAATTCCAAAGACAACACACATAATCAACACATTGCATTGTCTCCCAACGGATCCTCTCCCGAAGTAATCATACTCATTTGGCTCACACAGACAAAGCCATCTCCTGTGTCACAATCCTGCTGCTTTCTAAAAGGAGAGAAGCGGTTGTCTTCTGAATTAGAGTCTCTCCATCAACCATAACTTCATTTGCTTAGTTACCAAAGGGAAAGTCAATATCCAGGCACGTTATCTGAAGCATGTTTTGTCCTGGAGCAGATTAGAAAATGTTATTTGGATCACGGGCTGCAAATGATGTTATTCCTTAACCCACTGTACTCCGTGTCTGTAGATGCAAGCAGCGGAACTTCCCCACATGCCACGTGTGTCTATTAAAAAAAAAAAATGGTTTCCCTAAGCGGCAGCCCTGATCAACTTTCAACTCATTTTTCGTGAGAATTTTCAGCTGAAAATATTCAAGAACACCGAATTGTAATATATTTATTATTATTATTATTTTAATATATTTTTTTATTGTCTAAGTTTTACATAAGGTGAGGGATAGAGAGTTAGAAACATCGATGAGCCAAAACCGGTTTGGCTCAGTGGATAGAACGTCGGCTTTCGGACTGAAAGGTCGCGGGTTCGATTCCGGTCAAGGGCATGTACCTGGGTTGTGG